AAAGCAAACCAGGCTTTTAAAAATCAAAGGTTGCAACTTTGTGGTTTGAATTGATTTTTGGTGAGCCTCTATCCTCTCAGGGAAATGTCTTCCCTCACAACACCTGGCCCAGGGATTTTCTGGGGGAAATCTCTGAAATCTGTTTTCCTTGGGCTTTGGACACAAGCCTGACTGAGCCCAACACCTAACCTCCCTTGGCCGTTAGGGAGCCTAAGATGACGGGCCATTTTCTTTGTGCCCATCTCTTTTTCTTCTCTGGCCAAATCTTCTTTGCTGGTCAGAGGTTGCCGGGAGCCGGTCCATCCTTGCTGTTTCAAAGGACCTGGCATATATGGCATACTGTTCTTAATATGTTTGCTCCCCTTCTTGGCACTATGTGTTTTAACCACGGTCTCCTCTCTGAGAAAGTTGTTTCCCCAGGTAGGGATTTTCCCCTGAAGTTAGGGAGGGAATAAAACCCCTCAACTAAGTGCCAGGCGGGTAATTAATCACTTTAACTACGAACAATCATGCTTAAGCTACATAATCTTTACTTCCTGGAATGGAGATAAGAAACGCCCTAACCTTTGTAATAGAGATTGATAGGATTGAATCAACTGGTATAAATGCAGATGTAACAAGACAGCAAAACACAAAACTTAGAACACAGAACTTAGAAGACAGAACCTACACAGAACCTAGAGACAGAAGAACTTTGTTGGAGAGAACATGGCAAAAGATCCTGGACAGAAACTGGCAACAGAACCTAGAGACAGAACCTAGCGAGAGAACATGGCAAAAGATCCTAAACTGAACCTGACTACAGAAATTGGCTGGAGAACCTGGACAGAACCTGGATGGAGAACCTGGACAGAACCTGGCTAGAGAACCTGGAGAACCTAGCAAGAGAACATGGACACAGAACCTGGCTGGAGATCCTAAGCAGAACCTCTCTGGAGATCCAGACCAGAACTTGGCTGGAGATCTTGGCTAGAGATCCTGGCTAGGCTGCTGATCAACTGAACGCTGTCTCCGTGTCATTCCTTCTTCGCCGACTCCGTCTACACCTTTGGGGAACCCCTGGACCCGCTGGGACTAGACCCCAGCAAGAGGTGGAGTTCCTCTCATTGCATCTTCTGTCTTATGGGAGATAAGGACTGTCAGTGAGACAATAGGTTTTTCAACTGCTCAGCTTCTACCCCAAAGAGACGTTGGCAAGTATCTTAATCACATCTGAAGTCTCCTTTCAGGACAGTTTTGTGATCCATGTGAGGACGGTCCACCAAGCCTCTCCTTCAGTTCCTCCTCTTCCTTGCACGTGGGCCCCTCATGGTGATCTCTATGCAGAAGTGAGGGTATTTTTCTTGACACTCAAGCTCTTTATCTACCCCACCCAGGAGACCTTTTCCTTAGAACAAGCCACACACTTAATTTCCTTATTCCTGATGAAGGTCATGGCTCACTACGTTTTAGTGGGGCTCCTAGTTCTTGCCAGTTATGGGGGAAAAGGAGGGAAGAGTAAGGTTCCATTGCAAGGGCGTGGAATGGCCCCAGCCAGTTTGGTCAGTGGATAGAGCAGGGGTGGGCAAACTTTTTGACTCAAGGGCCACAATGGGTTCTTAAACTGGACCGGAGGGCCGGAACAAAAGCACGGATGGAGTGTTTGTGTGAACTAATATAAATTCAAAGTAAACATCATTACATAAAAGGGTCCGGTCTTTTTTTTTTTTTTAGTTTTATTCATTTCAAACGGGCTGGATCCGGCCCGCGGGCCGTAGTTTGCCCATGGCTGGGAGAGAGCATCGGCCTGCAGACTGAAGGGTCCCCCGGGTTCAATTCAGGTCAAGGGCACATTCGAGGGTTGTGGGCTCTATTCCAAGTAGGGGGCATGCAGGAGGCAGCCAATCAATGATTCTCTCTCATCATTGATGTTTCTATCTTTCTCTCTCCCCCTTCCTCTCTAAAATCAATAATATGTGTGTGTGTGTGTGTGTGTGTGTGTGTGTGTGTGTGTGTCGAATGCACACCAAAGGCCTTGCTAAATGGCTTTGCAATAAGTTAAGTATCTCTCCATATTAGTGCAGGCTCCATTATCAGTGACTTCTTGGGATGTGCAGAAAGCCAAGTGGATAGAATATACTGTATAACTATGTAGATAGGTGGAAATGTTTCTTAATTTCATTTCCACAGCCAAGTATGAGCTTCTAGTGCTCAATGGCTAGAAGCAAACAACACAGGCACTGCCCAGCCTCAGAGAAAAGATAGCTATGGATGTAGGCAGAACCAGGAAGTCAGCACCATAGGCCAACCCCTCTGCTTCGTTACAGTGCAGGTCTCTAGAGCAGTGGTTCTCAACCTTCCTAATGCCGCGACCCTTTAATACAGTTCCTCATGTTGTGGTGACCCCCAATTTCATTGTTACAAATTGAACATAATTAAAGCATAATCACAAAAACAATATGTAATTATATATGTGCTTTCCAATGGTCTTAAGCGACCCCTGTGAAAGGGTCGTTCGACCCCCAAAGGGGTCGCGACCCACAGGTTGAGAACCGCTGCTCTAGAGGGTAGCTGCCCTTTTGTTTGGGGCTTCCCTCCCAGGAACTAAATCTCTTCCTCTTAGCTTCACTCTGAAACCAAACTCAGGTCTCTGGTGCCTCAGCAAGCTTCTGACCACCCTGATTTCCTTCTAACTTCACAGGTCCACTTTATGCCTGCTACCCAATGCCAAAGCCACTTAGGCCAGGAGAGGTCTCAAGAGCAAGTGACTTTCTGATATGGTAACTCGGCCCTCACCCTGAGGTTGCGCATGGCTCAGCGCCTACTGAGAAGTGCTCCACTTGGATAGAATCTCTAAGCGTCAGATCTCAAAATTCTTCTTAAAACTATGCTTAGCAATACCACAAAGCTCCTGCCAAATGATGAAGCAGAGAAAAGAGTGAGAAACACTATAATGAATTTGTAAACTAAAAAAAAAAGAAATCAATTCACGTTCCTCTGAATTGTGCTCCCCTACTTCAGGCTTGCTTCTTATGCTGTCTGTGGGAGCACAGAGTGAGCCACATCGCATCCAGGTTGGTAGAGCATCAGGGCTCCCTCATCACAAAGGGTATAATAAAGTCCTCGGCAGACGGGCAACTGCCCGGCGTGCTGTGAACATGCCACCACTAATGTCTGAGATTACTGTAATTACAGCAATGCCACCTGCTCATCCTTTATCTCCCACTCTTGTACCACTTGAGTAATACTGCATTATCCCATATACTTAAAAGTTTGTTAGTATTACTAAGACCTTAAATGCATTGTCTTGTCATCTTTCAAGGTACCAGTTACTGTAATATTTCTATGGTTCATTTTGAGTGTCTGGGTTGACATATTATTATTTTCAACATATTATAAGCACCAAAAAAGCAATTTTAAAATTATTTTCTTCAGTCTTGCTTCACATTCAAGTTACGTCTAGAACAGCAATTTTCAACCTTTTTCATTTCAAGGCACAAAACTAATTACTAAAATTCTGCACACACCGAACAATATATTGTATTTTTTCCAATCTGACAAAAAAATAAAAATAGGTATAATTTTCATTCATTCACACCAGACAGCTATTGTGTCAGCTGTTGTCAATTTTTATTTCACAATCTAAGGGAACAGAGGTCTGTGCCCCTGACTAAATAGTCAGCTATTGCATGTTTTAAAAATTCTTGCGCCATACCAGTTGAAAAATCACTGGTCTAGAACTATATTTCAATATAGTATATTTGCTTGGCTGAATTCATTCACAGAATATCTGTAGGCCTGGACTGAACATATTTCCCGTAGTGACAGCTACTCTATTTGTAGAAACTATTTAGGGTTCTGGAGTGGAGAAAAAGAGGCCACTACTTAATAGCAATGGCATGTATCCAAATATAGATATAGTTTTCTGAACACCTGTTGAACATCAATGATGAAGAAACTGTTATAATTTCCAAAACCCTGGGCCAAAACCTTAAATTCTCAGGCACTCTGTTTCAATTGACACAGGATTTAACCCAGGAAAACAAGTTTCCTAACCAAAGAATGTAAAGTCTTAATATGCCAGCTGCTTTAGAAGTAAAATAAGCCTCTTCAAAAATCTGTTTCAAGGTCAATTACTTCCCATCAAAAGTCACTACCGAGGAAGCTACATTATTTGAACCTTAGGGCATGTACTGCAATTGTTTGCTTTTGGAGACACAGAGGGCATGACAAATATTTTGAGTTGTCAAGGGTGACCAGGAAGAAATGACCCACCTAAGAAATGGAAACTCAGAATAGTAATATGACACTCCCCCTTAGTTGCACTGGGTGCGGTTTGCTACACGCAGCTAACTTCCTGCGGTAGGAGAAAGGCAAGACGGTGCAAGAACTGAATGAGGTGGCCTCTCGACCCCTACCCCCAACACGGTGGTGGGGGTGGCATGCGACCTCAAGGGAAGAGGTCATAGGCAATACGCTCTACTGTTGCCGTTCATTCATTCATTCATTCAATTACTAGTTATGCGTTGGGTACTGTGTTAGAGACTGAACTCTCCAACTCTGACTCAATAGCCCTTCCGATACCCCACACCACTGCCCTCATTTCAGCGCTAGGCCTCACTGGCTCACCAGGACGCTGATGATAGCCAGATGGCAGGATAAAGCTAGCCAGAGCGGTGCCTTTCCAAGAACACGGAAGGGGGGTTTGGAGTCCGCGAGAACAGGTTCCCAGACCCTCCTGCCCGCGTGAGGACAGCGGGCCCGGACCCTGGCGGCCGCGCTCCGGGCGGGCCTGCGGTCATCACGCTCTGACGCGGAACCCGAGGTCGCGTCGATGCTGGCTGGAGGGGGAAGCAGCGGCGAGGGGGCTCCGCGAAAGGGGAAGTGGGCGCTGCAGGAAGCCCGAGGGCGGCGGGAGGCTGGCGGCCACACACGTACGCTAGGGGAAGACCGCCTTCCGCCAGGTGGTGCGGGGCCAGGGTCCCGGGAGGGCGGCGGAGGGGAGGGGCGGGGCGGGTTACCTGATGAAGGTGGTCTTGCCCGTGCTGTACTGGCCCACCAGGAGGATCATGGGCTTGTTGTCGAAGTCGGCGTCCTCCAGCGCGGGCGAGTGGAACTCGTGGAAGCGGTACGCCTCCTCCAGAGGTAGCACCTTGCGCAGGTAGAGCGAACGCAGGCCGCCCGTCACCGTCTGCACGGCATCCGCGCCGCCCGAGCGCTCGCGCCCGCCCGCCTGCCGCCCCATCCAGCTGAACATCCTGCCGCCCGTCCGCGAGCCCACCGTCCGCGCCCCGCGCCCCCGCTCTCAGCCCGGCGCCGCGCTGCCACGCCACTCGGGTCTGACCCTTCGGGCTCGCACTGAACTGCCCGAGCGGCGCTCTCCGCAGCTCGAGCTGGCCCCGCCTCGCGCGCTGGCAGCCAATCTCCGGTCGCTACGTCACGAGCGCTCGTTCACTATTCAGAAGGGCTCCCTCAAGTCCTTCCTCATTGGGCCGCTGTCAGAGCCGGTGGAGGTGTCAGCCAATGGAGAGGAGGCCCTTAATGAATTACGGATGACGGATCCGGGTGGAGGACGGGGGCGGCTGGAGGATGCCCCTCCAGCTGAGTGACGCAGACCCGACATCCAAGGCGCCTTCTGAGTCGCTGGGTCTCCGCGTCTGGACCGGTGGCGTTGGCTTGGCTTCCGGGCACATCTGAGCTGGCAAAGTCCCCCAGAAAAAACACACAAACCGCCCCGTGAGCCTCCGAAGGCTACTTAGTCTCCTGCAACGTTCACTCATCCCCGCCCTATAGACGTCGGTACTGGAGACAAAAGTTCAGAAAGTTGACAGGCAGGTTCTTTCTACCCGCTGAAAGGTTATTATTACCTTTATTTTATTGCTGGAGACCTTGACTCACGGACATAATTGACAAAATTTTAAGTAGGGGAAGTAGACTTCAGTCTACTTGGACATGTTCCTCTTACTTTGGCAAGCTGCCTCCGCTAACTTCTGGATCAATTGAAGGCCATGTGTCCTTAGTTTTCTTTATTTGATTTTCTGTAAAATTGAAGATTTAGTCATCATCCTCATTAATTACCAATTTCCACGTATTGACATGTTACCTCCCAGCTGACTCCTTTTCAAGTTAAAAAACAACATTTACCTAAATTGAAACTGGAAGAAATAATTAGCCATCACTTTTGGGGTCCTAGGTTACGGTTTTTGAATATTTCTCAATTGTTTTAGAAAGCAGTTATGTGTCCTTTGATGTATGAATGGATAAACAAAATGTGGCATCATACAATGAAATATTATTCAGCCTTAAAAAGTAAGGAAATCCCGTCACATGCTACAATCTAGAGACCTTGAGAACATTATGCTAAGTAGAATAAGCCAGTCACAAAAAGACATATAGTGTGTGATTCCACTTACATGTGGTACCTAAATAAAATGGTAGTTACCAGGGGCTGGGAGGAGTGTGAAATGGGAACTTGTGTTTAATGGGTATAGAGTTTCAGTTTTGCAAAATGAAAAATTCTGGATATCTGTTGCACAACAATGTGAATATAGTTAACACTACTGCGCTATACTCTTTTAAAAAAAATATATTTTATTGATTTTTTACAGAGAGGAAGGTAGAGAGACAGAGAGTTAGAAACATCAATGAGAGAGAAACATCGATCAGCCACCTCCTGCACACTCCCCACTGGGGATGTGCCCGCAACCAAGATACATGCCCTTGACCAGAATCGAACCTGGGACCCTTCAGTCCGCAGGCCGACGCTCTATCCACTGAGCCAAACCGGCTATGGCTGCACTATACTCTTAAAAATGGTTAAGATGGTAAATTTTGTTAGGTATTTTTTATCGCAATTTTTTAAAAAAGTGAGTGTATAGGATTTTTGTATTTTTGTAAAAAAATTTGAAGTATCCAATGAGAAGATGAGGATAAACCCCCAAGTAGTAATTCTCTGAGTTTTGGAATGATTTTAGTTTCCTTCTTTTATGTGCTTTTGCATTTTTCGAATTTTACACAATAATCATATTCTTGTTCTACAATCAGGAAATATTTTTATTGTCCATATTCCTAAAAGAATTGAAGGAAGAAAGAGGAAGAAAGACTTGAAGGAGTCTGGCCCACAGGATACACCATCGTATCTTGTCTTCCTTCTCTGTCTTCTTACAGCCACAGTGGCGGCTTTCTTGTTCTGCCCTCGTGGAGTGGGAGAGTGGCTGGTTCTCTCCAGGGTAGTTATCTTGCACCATTTGCAAGTTGTTTTCTTCTGGTTTTCTTTCTTCAGACGAAACAATCCCAATCTGTCACTTTTTAAATTTGAATTCAATTGTTTTTCAGGTAAATCCTATTACAGACCATTCTATAGGGAGTGCTATTGTTGCCTGGAAATTTGTTGTATTGAATAATTCCTTTTTTTAAAATATATTTTTATTGATTTCAGAGAGGAAGGGAGAGGGAGAGAGAGAGAGAGATAAAATATTGATGATGGGAGAAGTCATTGATTGGCTGCCTTCCACACACCCTTCACGGAGCCCAAAACCCGGGCATGTGCTCTGACTGGGAATGGAACAGTGACATCCTGGTTCATAGGTCAATGCTCAACCACTGAGCCATGCTGGCCAGGCTGTATTGAATAATTCTTAAAATAAGTAACTTGGTAATAAGATACAACTTCCTTTGCTATATGAAAATTATAATTGTAATCCTTGTGGAAGTTCCCCGCCCCCCTCCCCCCGCCTTCATCTTGGTAATTTGTTGGTCACAAGGTTTGCTCTAGATTATGTCTAGCATCATACTCTGATAACTTTAAGTTTCAGAATGGTCAAAGGCCTGGGCGACATGTGATGAGGAAATTAGAGAACGTATTTTAGCCTGGGAAGAGCCCCCTTCACTTTCAGACACATCTTTTCTTTTTCTGTGGCAACTTACCCAGGTTACTGCTGCTGCTGGGAGAAGTAGCCTTTAGGAAATGCAGGTGGAAATGTCTAGGTACTTGCAGCAAGATTGCCAATTGTCTATGAATTGTCCTTCGTCAGCAATAGAACTGACTTTTAGCTGGGCATGTTGCAAAACGGGTAAAAAATTTTCTAGTCTCCATCCTGTTGTGTCATGAGACCAAGTTCTGGTTGCTATGTTACCTGAAGTATATGTGGGAGTTGCAGGAAGTCTCCTTTAAAGAGAAAAAGTTCTACCTGACCGGTGGTGCTCAGTGGTTGAGCATTGACCTATGAACCTGGAGGTCACAGTTAGATTCCTGGTCAGGGCACATGCCTGCATTGGGGGCTAGATCCCCAGAAGGGGTCATGCAGGAGGCAGCTAATCAATGATTCTGATCATTGATGTTCCTCTCTCTCTCTCCCCTCCTCTCTGAAATCAATAAAAAAACAAAAACACCCCACATATATATTTTTTTAAAGTTCAATCTTTCTTCTGCCTTCTTCCATCTTGTAGCCTGGGATGTAACGATACAAGGGATGGTAAGTCAGAGAGCTGGAAGGAGCAGGATCCCCGAAGAATCAATGAATTGCCACACCAGCCCTGGGCTGCCTCCCTGTGGGTTTCTTTTACATAAACACATTTAAGCCACTCTCTGTCAGGTCCCTGTTCGAGATTAAAGTAATTCCTAACTAACACTGGAAATGCAGTCTGTGGTAACAAAACCTAAAATGTGACATTCACTTAGTGGAAGAAGAGCAAGGTCAACTTGAAGGATCCATTTATTGCAGTGTGAGATTTAAACGTTGGCCACATGCCTCCTTTCAAGAGATGGAATCTTTGTCCCCTACCCTTACATCTCGGCTGGCTTGTGAACGCTTCTGCCAATAGAGGAAGTGGTGCTATGTGATGTCTGAGGCGAGGTCATAATACTCCATGCACCCGCCACTGTGTAACTCACCCTTGGAGTCCTCAGCTGCTGTTTCAGATGACCTGCTATGCCAAGACCACCACTCTGGGGAGGCTACAGGAAGGTGCTGTGACAGGCAGTCAGTCAAGCCCAGCCTGCTCTTCATCCTGCCAGCCTGTCCAGCTCAGGCACCAGATATGTGCATGAAGTAGTCATCTCGGCAATGGATCCTTCAGCCTTATCTGTTCTAGATCCCGGCCCCCTGAGGCCCCCTGAGCAGTTTAAATCATTTGAGCTGAAGCCCACACATGGAGCAGATAAGAGTTGTCCTTGCTGTGCCCTTTCCAAATTCCTGACCCACGGAGCCTGTGGGCATAATCAAATGGTGGGGTTCTTTATGCCTTTATACTTTGGGGGGGTTTGTTGCTCAGCAATCGATAACTGGAACAGCTGGTAATTCTTATGATCTTGTTAAGATAAAAGTTTAGTTTTCTTTCACAGAAAAAAAGTCCAGGGCTAGGCAGACCAGGGCTGGTTTGGTGTTTCAAAGTCAGCAAAGGCTCAGGCCCCTTTATTCTCCCTGCTGCCCGGCATGTGGGTATAGTGGGTGGAGGTGCAGCAGCCACAATGAACCAGAAGGCAAACTTGAGGATGGCAGCTGAAGGGAGCCTAGGTCTTTGATAAGAAATGCACTTCTGCCTGGTTTAAGCCACTGTAATTTTAGGTCTTTTGTGTTATATAGCAGAAGTAATGCTAATTGGTATAGAATTTGAACACATGAATCAAGAACTTAGGAAAATTGGTTAGGCTAGAGTTAAAGATTTCAGAGTTTTCAAAATAGAAACAGCAGTTGAAATCCTGGGTGTATATGAGATTGCTTTAGGAGAGCATAAAGTGAGAAGAGAGCTAAGGAGGGAACCTCAAGGAATACTAGCATTTAAAGGAGAACAGGGAGGTGAGGCCAGGGGAAGGACTTGAAAGTGGGAAGAAATCTCAGACAGAAGGTATTCAGCAAACCTGGCTCCTTCCACCTTGGCCAGTTTGGCTCAGTGGATAGAGCGTCTGCCCTCAGACTAAAGCAGTGGTTCTCAACCTATGGGTCGCGACCCCTTTGGGGGTCGAGAACCACTGGACTAAAGGGTCCCGGTCAAAGGCTTGTACCTTCATTGCAGGTTCAATCCCTGGACCCAGTCAGGGCATGTGCAGGAAGCAACCAATTGGTGTGTGTCTCTCTCATCGATGTTTCTCTCTCACTGTTTCTCCCCCACCTACCACCCTGTCTAAATATCAATGGAAAAAATATCCTCAGGTGAGGATTAACAACAAAAACCAACAAAAAAAACAACAACAACATCTGGCCCCTTCCTTCTAGGGCTGGGTTGGCAGCCCCTTATGTATGCCCTTGGGTACACAGCTAACATGGAACTTTCTCTTTGCATTGCAAGGCTCTGTTTCCATGTGAGCTTCCTGCTTGGGACCAGAAGGAAGCTCCTTGAAGTGTGAGGTCAATTGATAATCCTTTTCATTGTCCCAGTGCCTAC